AAAGTGGCAAGGACTCCCATACTCCACTTGAAGAATAAGGGGGGATAAAATGCAGTGTAGAGTCCAGAAGAATGCCAACACCGAAGACAGTGCAAATGGGTGACCACAAAACCTTATTTTGAAAAGCAGACTGTCCCTGATTTATTCAATCTAAGGGAAGGCAGGGATGGGCAGCTATCCCCTTCTGCTTTATCTGTGTAAGTCGATTGGTTAGTGGAGTCTGGAACGGGCATACTTATGAAGCAAATATATCAGTAAGCAACAATCGCCACAGAGGGGAATCCTAACAGTAAAAAAGGAAGCATAAAAAAAAAAGATATCTTACCAAGTCACAGTCTTACCGAAGTTTGAAGGATGGTGACAGGCAGAAGATGGTATCCCAATGAGGAAGAAACAGCCACCTGATGCAATTAGTGGGAGATGAATGTATGAAAAGTAGTCCACATGTCCACTTGAAGAATTTCCTCCAATGGACTATAGAGATGAGATGCCAGGGAAAATGTAAGGTGCCTGATTTGATGTAACAACACCTGGAACAGATTTTGGAAGAAGAAGACAAAGAGCAATAACCCAACTGAATCAAAAGCCAAACCCAATTGGTAACTGTTGAAGGAGAAAGGTCACAAACAGAGGAATGTTGCCAGGGGGTGAAAAGAAAGGAATGAGAACCATAGAAGGAAGCCGTACGGGAAATGTAACAACAAAGAGCATGTGTGGGACATTGAAGCCTATCCGGATCAGAGTGGGAATAAAGGTGGGAGATGGAAGGAAGTAAAATTGGCGAGAAGGAAAGATCAATCTGGATAAAGGAGACCATATGTGGAATGGTACAGAGTGTGGGAGATGACAATGGCAAATATATCAGACTAAGAACATCCACAGGATTATAGGAGTAGGAAGTAGGTCGTAAGAGACAAGTGAAACAAAGAACAGGAGGACAAAGGTTCAAACAGAGGTAAAGTGAGGCCATGAAAAAAGACATCGACATACCAATCCAGAAGGATTGGTTAATGAGAAGGTCTACACATCTGGAAGGAACGTAACAACATGGAGAGGATAGGGGAGGTAAACACAAGATGGTACCAGGAAAAACAGAAGGTGTGTGATAAGGCTGCTCGATATCCAGTGATGGACGAGGCCAAAGTCCCATGATCAAACAGCCAAGTGAAGAAATTGGTAATAAGAGGAACAATGGATTGAGAAGGGGGACAACCCTGATGTAATGACCCATTGCAGAAGATGTTCCATTTATGTTGATAAACTGTAACTGAGGAAGGGTGAATGGAACAAGCTAAAAAGGAAGTGACCTGCCAAGACAATCCAGATCTCCTCATCAAGGACCTGATAAATACCAGGCAGGGTAGGAAGTGCAGGATGAAATACTGGTGACCGAGGTTGGTAGAAAATGGATGGAGTCAGAGGAAGTGGCAACGGAGGGGCAGTACAGAGTTGAAGTAGTTGAGGAAACCAATGTTTGGCCAACCAGTAAGGAGCAATCAGAATAACCACACACAAAATGGCATGGATGATTGAAATCACCCTGGGAAGAAGAAGGATTGGAGGATAAATAAAAAGGTATTGGTTGGTAAAATCCTGGCTGAATGCATCAACAGCTAGGGTTTGTGGATGATGAACTGGAGACCACAAAAAAGGTATTTTGCAATTGAGAAAAGTGGTAATGCATGCAGATGAGGCATACCCCACTGTGAGCATAGCTACCGGAAAATATGTGGATCGAGGGTCAACTCCATTGGATAAATTTTGTCCAGTCTGGAAAGACAATCTGCTACGAGGTTGAAAGCACCTGGAACATGATAGCTGACAGGCTTGATAGCTCATGTGATAGAAGATTCTAGATTGCCTCATTTAGACATTGACTGGAAATAGGTATCCCGAGGTAATGGAAAGAATATAGGTACGGGAGACAATGGGGTAGAGAAAGGAATTGGATGACAAGTCCTTGTGACAAGACCTGAAGAACCCAATGATTGGTAACAAATTCCCACCATATGTGAACAAAATCGGTCAAATGAACCCACACCAGACCAGAACCCACAGGATAGTCACTGGTACTGCATTATTAGAAACAATGAACGGTAGAACTCTTAGTGGGAAAAACAGGTAAAGGACAGGAGGGTGTAAGATGTGGAACAGGAACAGGGGTTTGGAAGGGCTCAGATTGAGACAAACAAGCAACCAAGGGCAAAAGAGTTGAATGTTGCCTTACAGATTCCACACAATTCCAAAGATTTAGGAATATCCCCCAAACTTAACCCTTGGAGAAACAGAACAATCTGCAATTCCCAAAGGTAAGTTGACAGTAAATAAACCTGGCACAAGATAGTGTTCCTCCACAGAAGGTCCCAGCAGCAAAGAAACCACATGTGCAGAGAGAGAGCTGAGGAGGACAATCGCACTAATGTAGAGGTAATGAGAGAGAAGGTATTCCTTGAAAATTGCTCAGGAGAACAGTGGATTGCCTCAGAAAGGAGGTGTATGGTAGATAAGTACCATAAGAAAGTCATAAAGGTAAGACAAAAGCAGGAAAACTAGGCTTGGGATCAAGGGACAGGACCATCAAGGTCAGCCCTACAAACTGGCAGTAGTGATTCTAACTTTTGAGAATCAAGATAGGAGTAATCTGCCTGATGGTAAGCCAAGGCAAACTGATCCATGGCTCTTGGTGGGCGAGGCATGTTAGCACCACCTTGCAACTGAGAAATAAATTGCTCAGCATGAATCCCAACATCAGGGGGAGGGAATACCAAATACTGAGAGGAAGGAGTGTCACGAAATAAGGTAGGAACAGGATTATAGGAAATTGGGGAAATGGATAAAACAGAACATACCCGAGAAATCATGTCTAAGAAGGCTGAATTAGGCCTGGCAAATTCCATAAGAGAGGAGTGGGAAGGCATGGCATAATTGGGAAGAGGAAAAAGGCAGTCAAAATCCTCATCACCAGAAACAGGTTCGGCTAGTTCAGGAGGAAATTGAACACTATCGGGAGAAGAAGGTCAACTCAGATAATGTTCAATCTCCTAATGAATAAAGACTGAAAGTTCCTCAATCAAGTTCCCCAGCCTGAAGCTTGAGTAATTGTGGTAAGAGCAGGTGGTATAACCTTCGAAGTGGTAACATGAACTTTGGTATTCATTAAAAAAAGATGAAATACTGAAAGTTATTCAAATGAAAAAGAAGAATAAGTAAGGTAAGTTTGCACAAAAAACTATAAAATTGAAAACAATGATATGATATTAATAAAGAAAAAATGTATCTTGACTGTAGCACTGCCAAACGAGAAGTGATAGTTCAGTAGAATCGAACAGAGGGAAACATGTGTCACACTTTTTATTGGTGGAAGGCTGTTGCATGACAGTTTGTATGCAAGACACAGTGAAACCCCAATAATCGTGGGTAGTGAAAAGGCAAGTTTTATGGAATGCAAAAAATTTTGGCATATAGGGGCAGCACTGAACAAGAATCACTATATATGTGAGGAGGTAATGTATCATACCGGAAATAATTAACTAATTAAAATTAGGGTTTCCAATTATCCCAACTAACCAAAATACTGTCATTATGATTTATCTTTATTATTTCTGATTAATTCAAGATTATTCAGCTTAACTAATCAGTCATGACTCCTGCAAATCATCAACCAATCGAAATTAGTGTTTCTGATTATATTATTAATGAGCATTCCATCTATCCAAGTAATTAAAATATTAACTATTACTACTTCTAGGCAATAGTATGCATGCATTCTGCTTATACAAAGCTCAAACATGAGGGTATGGCCTAGTGACTGTTGGTTACATAACTAGGCACAATGATACATCTTGTTCATGTTTACCTTATATATCTAAATTATATTCTAGCTTTAATGTAATTTATTGTTTACTTAATACAAGCTACAAACATAACCAGCTTGTACTGTAAAATGTATTAATTACTTTAATGTGCTTTTTCTAAACTTCCACTGGTATCAATAATTTTGTGCTTAAAAACTAACTATATTTATTTTCACTCAAGATGTTGTTCATTATTTTGTACATTTTCACACTGAATGGAAATAGATTCAAAATTATGAAACATTTGCATTTAAAGATTTATTTTATTATTGTGATTTTATTTTTATAATACCTCGATTTTCATTACATGAACCATTTTGATATCTGTAAAGAGGTTATCCAGTACGATCACAAGTTTCCTTGCCAAATAGTAAACATTGTACTCTCTTCATTTTTCTAAGATTGGAATGAATTTGTTTTAAATGAATTATATATATATATATATATATATATTTTTTACTACACACACTGTGACAACAATCTTTTCTAGTATTATCACATGAAATTTAAGGACAGTTATTTTTAATGAAGTAGTAGTTTATTCAACTTTGGTTGTCTTGAGAAAAGAAGAGAATGGTATTACTTGTATTTTAAGCTTGTTATAGGTTTCATACTACGTTGTGTTTAATCCTAAACTGGTGTACCTTAACACGTATACTGTATAAAAATAATATATAAAAAAAGAGAGAGAGAGAGATGAAAATAGGAAGATTAGTCTTATGTGAGAATAACTGATTAATTAAATGTAATTGATTAATGATTGTGATGATTTATCAATCAGCAAATTCTACTAATTTGCCAGCTCTAACCTTGTCATGTAATACAAATGAATTTCTTTTGTATGAACAGTAATTACCAACAAAATCCAAGTTATATCTAGAGCCACAAATTGCCAGATACAAATGCTTACTTTGGTAACATGAAAAGTGTCTTCAGTCAATTCAAGAAAACTTAATTCCCAACATAAACAGGTTTCAACTTGAGTCTATGCTAAAACTGAAGTACTTCAGTCCATCAAATTGGCTTTGTAAGCATAATAAAGTCAGTAATATATGATAGTAATGTCTTGTAAACATTTACTCTGGCACATATTTTTTATAGTAAAGCACATTCTGTGGCATACATTTAAGAAACATGGATACTCACCTATCATTATTGGAGTTTTTTGTCTCAGCCACCGAAACATGGATGGTCCAAAGTAGAGCAGAAAACCCAAAACAATAGTAACAATGAGGAAAGCACGCCTCGACCTACAGAACATGATAAACACATCAACATTTTAGATTTTATACACAGCTAATAACACTTTTGATTTCTAAAGATTTGGGGATAAACATTACAAATACTGATAACAAGAACAAAAAGTCATTCACACAAGTGAGTTAAGGAAGTGAGCAGCTCTAGCTGGCTAAGTTTAAAGAAACATTGTCATGCACACATGCATATGCAAAATTATTATGAACTAAGTACTTATTTACAATCTGATAATTTTTTAAAGAATTACTTGTTTTGATTATAAAATAAATATACTTAGCTGCTTATACATGTAATATATTTATCAAATGCATATCTTCTGCAAACTTTGATTTAACAACTGTAAATAATAGCCATATTGTATTAATTTGGGAAGGGGAGGGTCTCTGATTGCAATGATTAAACTACAACAGTGACTACTAGCTATATTGTTTGACTGGAGAGGGGGAAGGTCTCAAAATGCAATGATTAAACTACAATTGTGCCTACTAGCCATATTGTTTGACTTAGGAGGTGTGGGGGGGATCTTGGAATGTGATGATTAAACTACAATTGTAACTACTAGTCATGTTGTTTGTCTTGGGAGAGGGAGGGTCTCAGAATACAAAACATTAATTCTACTAAAGGTAGGCAGTTTCTTGATGTTTTTTTTTTCTTCTTTGCTTGTCCTCTGATGGTTTAATTCTTCTCAAGACTTAAATTCTAAACAAAAACAATATAAATTACAAAAGGCCATTAAAACAAAAGTGGCCTGTACTTTTGTGAAACATTAAACTCCAATCGTGTTAAATTGAATGGCTCATGAGCTCACTTACTAATTGTTACTAAAAGATTGAGATTTGTTATTAAATGTAAGAATAATAACTGCATGTATTAATGTTTCTTACCCATCATTGATAAATATACATTTTTTCATTTCATAATAAACATCATGTAAGTAGGTTTGTACTCGTACTAACCACTGCCGAGATCCAGTAATAAAAATTTATGTCAGTAAACTTATACTCAAAGGAACAATTGCAGTAAAAGTTATTATAGAACAACAAAATATACTTAACAGTTTGAGTCTTTACTCAAATATTATGGTTATATAGTTTGAGAGCAAGACTTCGATTTACTGATAAATTTATTAGAATTTTTAAGGTATTTTCTTGTATTTTAACCTGTCTATAAAATATCCTTCTGCGTGTAATACTTGACCAATTACAACCATTTGTTAGATTAACATTTTCTACACATACAAAGCCTGCAACTAATTACAAGACACAGTAAGTGAATTAACAAAATAAACATTAATGCTAAAAAATTACTAAGTTAAAAACAAAAGAATGGGAAGGGCTATATATTGCAATTGTTTTTAACAACAGTAAGAAATAAATATAAATATAAATGAGAATACACAGTAGAAGCAATATACTCTATATTTTATTAATCACTTTGTATAAGTTTTACATTTCTAGCAACCCTATGACATAAAAATTAAACTGATATCTTGTTACCTTAATTTATAAACTTGTTGCATGCTTATAAATGCAGAATATCAACTACTATATTCACAAGAGGAAAGCAGAATACAATTATAATGCACAAGAAGAACAGCAGAATACAATTATAATGCACAAGAAGAATAGTAGAATACAATTATAATGCACAAGAAGAATAGTAGAATACAATTATAATGCACAAGAGGAAAGCAGAATACAATTATAATGCACAAGAAGAATAGTAGAATACAATTATAATGCATAAGAACAGTAGAATACAATTATAATGCATAAGAACAGTAGAATACAATTATAATGCATAAGAACAGTAGAATACAATTATTAGGCACAAGAATAGTAAAATACAACAATAATTAGAGATGCATGGGTACCTGGCCAGATAATCGGCCCCCGACGGGGTATTGTACTAGCTGGTAATACTCGACCCTGGCCAAATGTCGAAGTTAAAAACAGCTGAATCTGAGTAATTGAAAATGGCATCTTAGCCCTAATCTTTGTGGCAACTTACGTGGTACTGAAAGTTACAGTCAATAATTGATTTAGTTGAAAAAACGTGTTCTGAGCAACAAAGACCGACTGCCCACTGAAAGTCAGAGAATCAGAGAACAATAGGGGTTAATAACAGATATGGCTTGAGAAGTGGATTTCTGGGGAAGGTGGGGGTTTTGAGAACAATAGAGGTTAGGGCTTGAGAAGTTGGGGCTAGTCATTGAAAGTTAAAAGTAAAACTTGAATGTTCTGTTGGTGATTATTTGGTAAAATGTAATAAACATCAATTTTTTTTTCTAATTTCTGTCTATGTCATTTATTTGGGAGGGAGAGAACCTGGTCCCGGTTCACATCTGGCCCTCAACGAAGTTTAGTGACTGGGTACCCATATCCAGTATTCAGCCAAATTTTACTACCTGTGCATCACTAATTATAATGAACAAGAACAACAGTAGAATACAATTCTAATGCACAAGAACAACAGAATACAATTATAATGTACGAGAAGAATAGTAGAATAAAATTATAATGCACTAGAAGAACAGTAGAATACAATCATAATGTACTAGAAGAATAGTAGAATAAAATTATAATGCACTAAAACAGTAGAATACAATTATAATGCATATGGGAAGAATAGTAGAATAAAATTATAATGCACAAGAACAGTAGAATACAATCATAATGTACTAGAAGAATAGTAGAATAAAATTATAATGCACTAGAAGAACAGTAGAATACAATTATAATGCACAAGAAGAACAGAATACAATTATAATGTATGGGAAGAATAGTAGAATAAAATTATAATGTATGAGAAGAATAGTAGAATAAAATTATAATGCACAAGAACAGTAGAATACAATTATAATGCACTAGAAGAACAGTAGAATACAATTATAATGCACTAGATGAACAGTAGAATACAATTATAATGCACAAGAACAACAGAATACAATTATAATGTATGAGAAGAATAGTAGAATAAAATTATAATGAAACAAGAAGAACAGTAGAATACAATCATAATGCACTATAAGAACAGTAGAATACAATTATAATGCACAAGTACAACAATAGAATACAATTATAATGCACAAAGAGAACAGTAGAATACAATTATAATGCACAAGTACAACAGTAGAATACAATTATAATGCACTATAAGAACAGTAGAATACAATTATAATGCACAAGTACAACAGTAGAATACAATTATAATGCACAAAAAGAACAGCAGAATACAATTATAATGCACATGAAGAATAGTCGATTACAATTATAATGCACATGAAGAATAGTCGATTACAATTATAATTCACAGAAACAATGACAGAATATAACAATTCTATTAATATGGTAAAAAGAAAACTTAAAGTTATTCTAATGCATAGGTGGAAAGAGAATCTATAAATGATTTAATACATAAGTGTTTATACAAAAACTGATTCATAAATGGGATTGTTGTGACAAAACATAAATAGTGTACATCACTGTTGGAACGACCACAGATTCCAATATCAGAAGTCACATATCATCTTTTAGTTTTTAGTTATAAAAAAATACTTACGACATATAGCCATCTAGGACCCTTTTTAATTTTCTACTTATTTCCTGCATTTCCATTATTTGAAAAACCTAAAATAACAGTAAGAATAACAAATATCTCAACTGGCTCATTTGAAAAAATGACATCACACTTAAAAATATCTTTTACAGCATCTACATTGCTAGAAAGTCAATAACAGATAGCATAATTACAGATTTCTGATTTATGTCCTTTTATAAAATTCAATTACTTTATGCTACAAAGATCATTATCTATTAGAGAATTTGATTTGAAACTTGTTTGCCAGTTTTCAACTTCTTTAAATATTCCAACAATTTCAACATTTTGAACAAAATTACAATGGCATGTAGCAACTAAGTCCTTTTTAAAATCTAATTTCAATCTACATTTTTGATTCAAGACATGTTGAATTGACAAAACAGGAAATAAGGTTAAAAAAAGACAAATTATCAAATAAAACTGAAATGAAAAACAGTAATACATAGGATCACAATTTCTTTTTAAAATATTGAAAACAATCCATGCACTCAAGATTTCTGATCAGTTTCAACATGTTTAAATTATAAAATCCAGGGTATCCTACATAGTCTCAATCAATCAATTAGCAGCTGATGAAATATCATGGTGCATACTAAATTGCTCAGTTCAATGTTCAGAATGTTCTTCAAGCACTTTTAGGAAGTTACAGTCTACATCAAAATTAATTGGATTCCAGTGAAATTTTATAAAATTCCTATTTATTTATTCAACATATGAATGTAGACTAAGAAAAGAGAAACTTTATTTATTTATTGAGCTCAACTCCACAACATGCAATAAAGTTAGATATAGCTGTATATTCTGCAATTATAATATTTTCAAGTACTTTTGCAAAAAAAAGGCCCCTTTTCAAACACTTTAAATTCCATTCTCAATTTCATGTATGAACTCCGATAAACATCATGACACTTCTAATTTACATGCTGATCTGCCCAGTGTGTATCTTCTTCTATATACAAAGAGGCACCCTCTTCATACTGTCTTAGCATAAAGAAAACTAATAATGCTTGCAGTTGTCCCTGTTGTGGAAAACTCATTCTATTAGTTTTAATTTACAAAGTATTACAACTACAATTTTGTTTACATTTCCCAGACTATGTGGTACATATTCTAACAAAAAATCAACCCCAACACATTTGAGATATGACATCACATTCTCCTATTTCTTTATAAACAGAATTGCCTTTATTTACTCATCCTAATAGAATTATTATATTTTTAGTAATTTGACTGTTATCCATAATTAAGACCATTTATTATTAATTGTAATTATTATTGTACAATTTTAGCATCTTTTCTGGTGAAAGTTATTACATAATTTGATCCAATTTAACTTGTAATGAAAGATCATTACATCAATAATTTAACAATTTCTATCCAAGTAACGTAATTTTAGAAATAGTCTGACGATTTTAATATGACATACAGAGGTAAATAACTAATTTGTTTAGAAGGCTTTTAAAATGCTGCAGTGATGGAAACTTAAAAACAGACTGAACTTTCTATTCTGAGAATGAAGTGTTTCAAAAAGTGATGTCATCAGCAAACTAAAGATAACATTTGATTAAATAATTCATTTGTAATTTGTGAAAACAGCCAAACAGAAACAGCCAATTATCAGTATCAATGAAGATACAACTTCAAATGCAAATTAATTTTACAAGTAAATATTATTCAGTATCAACGAAGATACAACTTCAAATACAAATTAATTTAACAAGTAAATATTATTACTACATACTGAACACTCACAGGTCTCTCCCACTGACACAGTAGATAGTTTACATACAAATATTTTAAAATGTATTCCTAAAAGTACCTCGAACAAAAGTATTTATTATTACTTAAATTCAATTATATGTTGGTAACAAAACAAATTCCTCGAAATATTAAACAGCGAAAATACAGTTTTCATGAGGTTCATGATTCTTCACCTTCCAACTCATACACAAAAACCAGCGCCATCTGCTAGTTAATTTTCAGTAAGTATGGCCATCGCCCTCACCTGAAATAATCACAGTGGTTGAGCTGAAGTCACCTGAGCCACCTAACGGCAATTAAGTGTTAGTCAAACAATTGTTTTTCCATCAACATACATATTTATCCATTTGTAATTTCACCTATATTTCTTATAATTTTTACAGCTAAGTATTTGCTTAAAATTAAATTACTCAAAATTAATCAAAACTATTATCTCTAAGCCAGACGTAAGATGGTGCCAAAGTTTTTGTCGGCCATGTCTACAAATCAATGTTCTTGTACTTGAAACAATTTTAAAGATTTTTTTAACTTCACTTAAACTAAATTTTTAATCAATTAAAAGAAAAGACTACTTTAGTACTTTAAGTTTATTTACATATAACTTACGCACAAGTTACAGGGTGTAATTCAATTAAGTTTCTTTCCGTTAGCACAAACCCATTAAATCATATTAACAAAAGATAATACAAAATTTAACACAAATTAAGAATGCAAAAACATAATATATAGGAATTAAATCAACATTTATAACTTATGAAATAAATTTAATAATTTTGCTTGATTTCTGACTTTTTCTTAGTTGACTTAAACATTTTGATTATTTGTATATCATCTCATTTACACGTCATTAAACACATTATCTTTTATAGACTATCATTTAAGCTTTCTAACAGGCACAAAAATAGTATGAAAAGTAAACGATAAGTTTTTTTTATTTTTAAGTTCAGTTTTTGCATCTCCATTATTCATACAGTTCTTGTTTCCAATGATATCGAATTTAACTTCTGTTCGTTTATAAACATGGCGAGTGGACAGAGAGCCTTCGCTCAAAGATTGAGCAAGTAGGTCTTGTCGATGTAATTCACAGATTTAATTTTGTTTTCATAAATAGAAGACTTGAATCATTTATATTAAAGATACGTATGCTTTTTGGCAAATGTGAGGGCAGGCTTGCTCATCGTAATACTAATATTATTATTAAAATCCAAATTCCAGTTGACGAACCCTAACTCAAGTGTAATTTGTAAAGCTTGTGCTCTTGCAGTTAGTGAGTTATTCACTGTCTCATGCTTAGAATTTTAATCTTATCGTGTAGTAAGACACTAAATTACCAAAAGAGACATATTTTTAAAGCTATACTAACGTCTTTTATATGAAACTTACAAGTATATTAATACTGTTAGTATTGCCAATCACAATAATCGGTTTAACTATAACTTTAAGGGTACTTTAACTGTTCAAGCACACAGATTTTTATCATTTGGATTTATCGTTATCTGTACCCCTACAACTAGTAGTAGTAGAGCAGAAACCTACATGTCAAACCCTACCATTCATCATGTTACTTTTTGTTGTTTCTCTGTGTCACTTGCATATCCTTTACACATTTCAAAAATTACTCAGATGTTCAGAACAAAATGTTCATGTTTTAACTCATAATTCTTAGTTGAAGGAATTACATGTTTCTAACAATTCTGTTATAGATAATTTGTAAATGTCTAACATGGTGCATAAAACATATTAAAGTTCTTTAAGTTTAACTGAAATGAATGTGTGGTTATAATGATGTTTAGGCCTGAAATGTGTAATTTAAAAATTTTTGAAAATTAACTTTAACAAAAAACATATTTTTTGTTCAAAATATTTAGTTGTTTTTTAAATATATAGGAGATATGTTAATTTCTTAATTTAGCTTGTTGTGATAAGTCCAAATTGTCAAAAAACTTATAGCAGTAATACTATTACTAATAGTGAAGAAATTGGATTGTCTCAACTCCTCACCCTACCCTGGTACCTTTTAAGACTTACACAGACATCATAGTAGGCCTAATTCTTTTCTCTTTTTTTTTTTAGTAGGCCTAATCTTTAAAACAAGGAACCTAAGAATTTTATCAGAATATTATGTTAATGTCGTATTTGATCATAGGAAAAACTCAGCACTGTATCAAAAGAATATCTCAGTGTGATGTAGATGCTGAAGAAAAACAAATATTTATTTAAAAAAGGTGGAGAAGATTGTAGTCTATTGTAACAATTGTTCTTGGGTATTTCTATAGGCTGTTTTTTAATACTACTATCAAATCATGCAATATAGCATCATTTCATGGAAAGCACGTGTAGTTTCTCTATGTCAGTTTGGTACTTCACATGTTGACTGTCTGTTAGAAGCAGCCATCAGGCAGTGGCAGAAATGTCAAAAAAAAAAAAAAGAAATGCATTTAGTACTGTAATAATTGAAGTCAGATCATTGCATAATTTATTAAGATTGTATTGTTTTCATAAAAACTGATTATTCTGTATTGAAGGTTGTATGTGTGCATTACAAATTTTGAAATATAAATGTGTTTATATGTGTATACATATATATATATATATATATATTGTTTTTAAGAATGACTGGTTTCACTTTTTATTTCATATTGAAGTTTTTATATGTACATGTAATATTTTAAAATGTAACTGTATACGGGGTTCTAGAAATAACCTTCCTTTTATTACTGGGCTTTAATAACTCAAACTTTGTATACATATTGTTACGTATCCACTTGTTTGTTAATTTCCGGTATAAACTCTTTCCGAGGAACTTCAGTGATACAAGTCCCTTCTTGAATAAAACTAGTTTATTCTTTCTGGATACAACTTTGTAATACACGGAATTTCCACAGTCACTTTAGACTTAACAACCTTTATTACACATGCTATAAATTATAAATCACAGTGATTCTCACACACTTACGGTGCCTATTGTTCGCTTGACTCAATTATCTATCACTTCAATATCTATTTATATCTCTTCAATCTATCTGCATATCTATATATATATCACTCAATCATCCCATTAATAAGTTATCAATTAATTTATCAATACAGAATTATTTTCATACGTGTTCAACATGATTTCCATTGTGATCATCAAGAGCTCCAAGGGTGTTCATACATTTTCCTACACAGTGTTTAATATACAAATATACCAGATTTGTATAATTTTTAATATTTGTAATATTTTTTGACTGCATGTAACGAAAAATCAAGATTATTAATTAATTGATAAAAATATGTATATTTCATTAATTTTTATATTATCATAAGCCCCATAATTGAATTGGTATCTATACAAAGTTTCCGTCATTTACACTTCATAATAATGGCTTAAAGTTCAAAACAGGGAAGTTATTTCTGGAATGCCCTATTTTTGAAATGAAACTAAATATATTTTGTTGCTTCTCATAAAAATATTATACATTTACTTGCAGTACTCTTTTTAAAGGTAAAATTTTTGAAAATAGAGCTAGTATTTTTTCAAGTACTCTTCTACTAGACTTGACATTCATCATCATGAAGAGAAAAAGAAGGTTTGAGTTATACATTTGTCAAAAATTATATAAGCGCAATTTGATTTTCCTTTATCAAGTCGTCATTCTTAATTTCCTGTCATTTCTCTGATTGAAACATATGGTTATGTGGTAGCACTTCTGACTATGAGAATTCAGCTGAAAGCATTATTTATTAGTTTTTGTATAAATAAATCAATTAAATATTATTTGCAAAATAGACAGTCTAATGCAGATGTTCGAAGACAGATTGCAGCAGCCTCAAGTGGCCGAGACATACCGCGTGGAGGGGGATCCAGTGTGCGTAATAGTGTATGTAGTTTCAAAGCCTTTTGCCATTTTTCACTCATACAAAATACTCAAAATAAACTGAGTAGTGTCAAGTTTCGTACACAAATATTGCTTTCTTCTTGATCTATTAACTATGTTGTTAATCACATTACTTTTAAGTAAAGTTTTTAAAAAACTTAAGTGATTATTTTGAGTATAAAGATTTTGATTTAAGAATATTTAAGCAGAATCTAGATGTAGTTTAATTCCAACCAATTTTCTCATTACTTAAATTTGAAAATTAGAGGATTGGGTGATATAATTCCAGCTGTATGGGTAAAATACCACCTTAACCGTAAAATCCTTCTAGATTCAGCAGAATATAAACATATATATGTCATGTTAAAGGTTTTAGGTATAAGTCTTGTTTGTATTTTTAAGACAATAAATTTTTTTTTGTTAAAAATATCCATGTAAAATTTCTATATATTTTGGAAGAAAATTTGTATAGCACATATGAGATAATGAGGGGAATTTTTATACATGTAAATGAAATTCAAGACCTATTATTTCATGAGATATATTTGGTTATATTTAAGGTACCATTGTGCGATGTGGTGGATCCTGTAGATTTTGAAGATTTTCTCCAACAACACCAAGAACAAATTGACCATGACCCAATTCGTCATCTGTTGGAATTCCCTGCAGATGATATTGAAGTTGGAATTATTCCTCGTAAATGTCGCACAGTTAGGCCAATCATACCAGAAGAAAATGAGTAAGCCAGATTTCTTTATGAAATTCTTACTGATGTACAACAGGTGAAACACAAAAAAATGAAAGCAACATAAATAGCTGTAAGAAGTGAACTTCAACTTAGCCAACAGAATTATGACAGCTACTTGGGATAGGTTTTTTAGAGCACGTAGTTTATTTGAAATCCACCAGCACTTTTAATACAGTTTAAATTAGTAACGCTTTTAGACTAAGAACAGTAGTAGTTTAACTTCTTTATAGACATTTTTAGTCATTGAAATCAGCAGTTCTCTGACCTTTTTTTGTTTTTTATTTCTTGGCTAGGAGTGAACTTGACCCCTACATCAGTGATTGTATTCAGAGTTATACTTCAGACTGGGTATTTGTCAATAGGAGGTAAGACAAAACTTTCATGCTCATCTTTTTGCCACTAGAGTTGATCGTTTTTTTCTTTTTGAAATACTCAGTATGGACTGGAGTACTTTAAACACTTTGTGAACAAATGTCCTTCAGCATCAGGTGAGAAAATTTTTTTATTTTCCAGCATTTCAGATTATACCTTTATAAAGATTTGTAGCAGCTGGCAAAGCACAGTGGTCATGTGCAGTTAAATGTTGCTTACGTAGAAAAATCCATTTTAACAGTTTTTACTAGCTTTTCAGGATACCAAAATAACATCTAACCTTAAATTGTATATGATAATTTGGACTTGCACATAGCTTTTATAAATAAATTGGTACAAAAGTAAATCTTTTTGTAAATTATATGAGATATACAAGTATCAACACAGTTAATTTGAGATTTTCTTAGACTGAATTGCCTTTTTTGTCATTATTATGTTGGCCATTTTATTATAAAATTATTTTGTTGGAGATTCATAATTTTGATTAGAAAATGTTTTATATAACTATAAAGAGGTAGGAGAATGCTACAAGAATTGGTTTTAAACATACAGCAAAAAACTAGGACAACATTCCCAGATACACAGTATTTTGAGTGGATTATTATTTCTTAAACTTTATAACAATGTTTCAATTACATGTACTTGTGTGTGGTCATCATCAGGGAAACTGTCTAGTTTTTAGGATTAAGACTTAGCTGCAAATGGCAGATTTTAAGACTCTTATACATGGGTTGACCTAAAGCTGTTTATTTGGTATTTTGCATGGATGTGTTTTTTACAAGACAGTTTACTTGATGATGACCACACAAGAGGTCAAAATGTTGTTATAAAGTAAAAAATAAATTAAAATAATCCACTCAAAAATGACGTGTCTCTGGATTTCTATTTAAAGTAGACCAGAATATGTTCTATATACAGAGCAGAAAGGTAGGACAATGCTACCAGAATCTGTTCTAAATACAGAGTAGAAAGGTAGGACAATGCTACCAGAATCTGTTCTAAATACAGAGGAGATAGGTGGAACATTGCTACCAGAATCAGTTTTAAATATCGAGCAGTAAAGGTAGGAGAGTTCTACCAGAATCTGTTCTATATACAGAGCAGAAAGGTAGGACAAAGCTACCAGAATCTATTTTATATACAAAGCAGAAAGGTAGGACGGTGCTATCAGAATTGGTTCTAAGTACAGAGGGGAAAGGTAGGGCAATGCTACCAGAATTGCTCTAAATACAGAGGAGAAATGTGGAATAGCGCTACAAGAATTGGTTTGAAATATAGAGCAGAAAGGTAGAACTGTGCTAACAGAATTGATTCTAAATATAGAACAGAAAGGTCAGACAGTATTACTAGAATTGGTTTTAAATACAGAGGAGAAAGGTGGAACAGCGCTACCAGAATCGGTTTTAAATACAGAGCAGAAAGGTAGAACAGTGCTACCAGAATCTGTTCTGTATACAGAGCAGAAAAGCAGGACAGTTCTACCAGAATCGGTTCTATATACAGAGCAGAAAGGTAGGAAAATGCTATCAAAATTGGTTCTGTACTGTAGTCAATAAAGTTTTTAATCAATGAAACAGTGTTCTAGTAAGACTGATAATATAAAGACAAAGTTATAACGGTGATCTGTCAACATTCCTATATAAGAACTAAAAGTATTTAATGAATGAAACAGTGTTTTAGTAAGACTGATGATATAAAGACAAAGCTATAACGGTGATGTGTTAACACTTTTGTATAGAACAAAATCAATGAAAGTTTTTAATTATTAGTAAGAATTTTAATATAGTAAACAAAATGAGTCCTGGATATCAAATAAATATTTCAGTGAGTATATATAGATATTTTTTAAAATATTTTATACTACATGCAGAGTGCACAATAAAAGTGGAATAAGTTGGGTACAGGGTGTCTTTAGTGCATTAACATTTTCTTTAATCCTTCTTGAGGTATCAGCAGTACAGCACCAGCTGTGGTCTGCACGATGGAGCACTAGAGCAAGCCACAGTGGTCCGAGCTACACCAAAGCAAGAATTTGAGGTGGATCTGGAAGAAGAAATCTTTCTTGAAAAAGATTCTGATAAAGCAAGTACATGTGTATCTCAGCCTTTCTCAAACCAACCACCTCTCCCCTTACCTTCACAGCCTCCTCTAGCTGAAGACGAAGATATTTCCGTGAGTTTGGCTTACTGACTTCTATCAAACATGTCTTCTGTGAATTAACTATTGTTGTTTTCTCGTTGGTGTACTGAGTAGTTTAATGAAAACAGTATAGTGCTAAATGCAGTGTACAGATATATTAATTTTATTACAGTTGTGTTTTTTCATCAAGCTTTTTCAGACTGACCCACTTTAGTAAACATGGAATGATGCAAGCTTTGAGGCTTATCCTGCAGTTTATAAGTGTTCTATATAATATTCAAAAAAAGATGTCAACATAGTACAGGTTAGCTGTAATGCATTTTAATCATACATTTTCTTTACTTCTGATAGTTAATTTAGTACTACCTCTGTTATTAGTAACTCTCAGCTTTGGAGGCATTCACAATAACTCAGTTCAAGTTTTACACAAACTTCTTCTCATTACCAGCAAGGTAGAAACATAAACCAGTTGTAGCCAAATACTACAATTTTAGTTACTAAAATATGGTATCTGATAAATAACATAAAAGATATACTTGCACAGTTTGATGGTTTAACAACTGTAATTGAGTGTAATATACATTTGCAGCATTCCTTTAACTTTATTTTATAATTCAGTTAAAAATTGTTTGAATTTTATAATTTGATTAACAGTTTTTCTGAATTATGAAATTCTCAGTTGCGAGGCTTTTTCCAACATCAGCAGTAGGCATTGTACATTCATGGATGCTTTTATTTGTTTATCTTCTGTTTACATGTTCACGAAACTTCAAGAATGAAATTCTCAGTTGCGAGGCTTTTTCCTACATCAGCAGTAGGCATCTGTACATTCATGGATGCTATTATTTGTGTATCTTCTGTTTATATGTTCACAAAACTTCAAGAATGAAATTCCAAATAACTAATTGCTGTTAGTTTTGTAGATCCATAATTTTCTTTTTTTCTTGAAGAAGTCATTGTGAGCATCTGTTATGGAAGAACAGATGAAGTTAGATTTTGTAAGTAAAACAATAATTGTTATTATAATGAGCTTATTGTATTTTTAGGACTCATCATTGCCACCTTCAAATCGACAGTCTGTTAACCTTGGTGACACTCCTCGGGCTAGCTGGGCTAGTAGTGTGTTTGATCTACACAACTCCCAGTCTGATTCGCTTATTGCTTCGCTTCTGGATAGGGCACCAGCAGATGAACTTGATAGGCTGAATGAACTTAAAAGACATGAAAACAGACAAGAAGGACTCTTTGCTCTCTACCGAATTCAGAATGAGGTTGTTAACCCTATCATTATCTTTTAGATATCGAGTGCACACCTGCATATCAAATTTCAAACTTTTAGTGAAAATAATAATTATTACTCCGTTTCAACAATGTTTAACTCAGAAATATTTTACAGTTAGTATTTAAAACTTATTTTGTATAATTTACAAAGAAATTTATAATAAATGTTGAAACATTCATCTCTGTACAGCTCTTTTCTGTAAACAAATGTTTTTGTAAAATAGTCTCTCACAACAAAATATTTGTAATTTCACAATGTAAAAAGTAAATCAAACTGTATGAATTTTTTTAATCCAAAATGTGAATCTGTTTACTAAAGTTTATTCTAAGTCTTCGTGTAATTTGGTTAAACACTTCGACTATAAGAATGAAAGAATCATGGAATATCAGTGACATCCTAGTGGTTTGGAAAGGTTTTAAAAAAATGTGAATTTCGTATAATTGATTCCAACTTTAGAATTGCTGATTTTTTATGCTCATCACTATTCATTGAAATATTATAAAAGTTTATATTCTTATTTACTCTGTTATAGTTCTCTTAAGTTCCTGTTTCTGATCCTCTTTTTCTTACCCTTGTCAACTTTACACCAGACACAGACATTAGCACTTAAAGTTTTTCAATTCTGTATACATACAAATAATTAAGCTGTTTCTTCTTACAGGAAGATGTGATTGAAAGAAGACTACCTGCTGAGACACCCAAACAGCACTTGGGACACAGAATATTAGTCAAGTGCTTGCAACTAAAGTAAATATTAGAACTTTCACCAGGTGTCTCTACTTGTACTATTAAAATGTGTTTATTTTGCTCAGGGCCAGTTTTAGTTACTTTGCCATCCTAGCATGATTTTAAATTATGTCCCCCATAGAATGTGTAGACCGTTATCATTGGTAAACATATATATATACAATATAGCATTACATGAACAAAATATCAAAATGCTTTTCCTGGAGAACTGTATTATTATCACTGGTAAACATGTATATATATGTATGTATCAATATATGAACAAAATGTCACAAACACACTTTACCAACTTAATCCAGCTCAAACCAACAGTTTGTTAATATACATAGCATCTCAACCACTTCTATATTTGTCTTATCCTGACCTGAGGATCTCTGGTATTAGAAAAATGGCCTTGTCAGCACTGGATATAGCAGTTATTGTGTGGTTGACATATTATTATACATTTCACTTTCACTCAGAAATTATTTTTAATTTTAACTATCTGATCACAGGGTCAGTCACATTGACCAGTCCTGAATCTCTGATGCTGTACATTCTCATGTTTTACTGTAACTCTGAATTGTTTCTGGACATTTGGTAAGATTTTAGTAAACATTAAAAGTCTGTTGTATAATCAGATATTTTAATAAAGTATTTCTATGAAAGATTTGTCTGTGAATTTACGAAGCCTCTAGTAAGTCAGTCAGCGTGAAAGTTTATTTTCATGTTAAGAATAAAAATGCTTTTCATTTTACAGTTTTCGCATGTATTTAGAACCTACTAAAAGAATATCAAATGTATTTTTGTTTTTTCCAGTAATATTTTTATTTTATCTCTATTTTATTTAACACTAACAGTATACTTGATTCTTGGGTCAGTAGATAAATCATTAATGTACAGTTGAAAACTATAAAATAGAATGAATAACATATTTCTTGTCTCTGAACTGACTAAAGTATTGATCAAATTGTTCCAAATCACTTGTCTTAACAGTTTCAGCTGTTATACTTTTCACATCTGTGTTTTTTGTTTTTTTTATGATTTTATTGGAGAACTTTTTACCAAATCACTTGTCTTAACAGTTTCAGCTGTTAAACTTTTCACATCTGTTTTTTCTTATGAATTTATTGGAGAACTTTTTACCAAATCATTTGTATTAACAGTTTCACCTGTTACACTTTTCACATCTGTTTTTTCTTATGATTTTATTGGAGAACTTTTTTATCCTTTGGGGCAGTAATACTTGTTTCTCCAAAGCATTAAATCATAACTTTTTCTGGCATACAATAACGTAAACAGCACATGACCATATTATGAAACATAACATACATATTGCTTAGTCTCAAGCATATGGAATTTTAGACTTTTTTTTATTCTGCTGAAGTTTTGTCAGACTAAGCTGAAAAATTTATAATTTTTACATTTTAGTTACTTTTGTCAAAGTGTATAACAAGAAACAAAAAATTTACATAAAAATAAGGATTTATAATACTCTGTGCTGGCAAACTGGTTTGCACTTGTGCAAAACTGAAGCCATTCTTCCTTAAGCCTTATTGAGTTTCTCAAATTTTGTTACCCAAAAATAATCAATTTAGCTTTCAAATTTGCTTGTGAGAACACAAAAAATATATTAGTCACTAGAATGGAATGTCCCAAAACTATTATAATTTATCCAGTTTTCTAAGCAAGCTATAAACAAGTTAAACAAATTCCATTAGCTATTCAGAGCAACAATACCATGGGCTCGGCATGGCCAGGTTGTTAAGGCGCTCGTCTCACAATCTGAGGGTTGCAGGTTCAAATCCCTGTCACACCAAACACACTCCTCCTTTCAGCCATGGGGGCATTATAAGTGATGGTCAATCCTACTATTTGTTGGTAAAAGAGTAGCCCAAGAGTTGGTGGTGGGTGGTGATGACTAGCTGCCTTCCCTCTTGTCTTACACTGCTAAATTAGGGACGGCTAGCGCAGATAGCCTTCGTGTAGCTTTGCACAAAATTAAAAAAAACAATATCATGATCACATAACAAGAAATTTCTTTCACCTGAATACTCTCCCTGCTAAGGTCAAAAGGACAGTTGTAAGTTTAATGTAGAAGAGAACCTGCTCTTTCTATTGGTTATAAACAATCCTAAAACTCGGAGGAAATGGGGTTTGTGGTGGGTTTGATAAGTGTATTGATATCTCAGCAAATCTCGGGAAGTTTGAATTTTAGATTCTTGTTTTGTAATTATGTGTAGATTGTGTTTCTAATTGGTTGGAAATTGTAGCAATCCTTATTTAATGTTAGAAAATTAGGAAGTAAAGAGATTGGAGCTCAGACATGTTATGTGACACCGAAAAATGAAGGTTGAGAATTTTTTACACATTTCTTTTAGAAATTAATAAGTTAAAACTTAGATAATATGAAAATTAGAATTATAAATTATCTTTTTGTGTCAGGTTTATTGACATACATTGAAAATAAAGTTGTTTGATTAAATTTTTAATATAACACTATTAAAGAAGTGTGTTGCATACTGCTCTTTGTTAGACATAAAAGTTATGAGTTGTCATTTACAAGCATTATGGTGTTAGTAACAGAGGAGATAGGTGAGTTAGTGTAATGACTCCTTTTATATCCAGTCAAGTATTGAAGCTTTATGGTGTTAGTAACAGAGGAGATAGGTGAGTTAGTGTAATGACTCCTTTTATATCCAGTCAAGTATTGAAGCTTTATGGTGTTAGTAACAGAGGAGATAGGTGAGTTAGTGTAATGACTCCTTTTATATCCAGTCAAGTATTGAAGCTTTATGGTGTTAGTAACAGAGGAGATAGGTGAGTTAGTGTAATGACTCCTTTTATAACCAATCAAGTATTGCACTACTTCATTGTACTACTTATTCAAAAGTCACTTATCATCCTTAGACAAGACAAACTCAATTTAGAAGTATCTATACATGCATTTTCCTAAAACATGCAATGCAATTCATGTTTTACAACAGCTTTAATTGGCAGTTATTAATATTTTTGCTATGATTAAAGTTAGAATTTTTTGTACCCTATTCATGTAGTGACTAATATCAAGAAATTCATCTGTGTGCTAACATTGCAACTAGAACTTTTTAGTTGTGATGACGTGACAGAGGATCTGAAGGAGTGTTATTTCTCAAATAGAAATGATGGATTGTTTTGAAACTGGCCAAAATGATATGATGTCTTGGTACCATGGTACAAGTTTAACTTGTGTTTCCTGGGTGCACCACTAATTTGTATATAGTAGTTGATTGTTGCCTGGATGTGCCCCTAATTTTTATATGTATTTGATGAGGAAGGTTTCACATTCTATTGTTTACTATAATGTCTTGATACCATGGTACATGTTTAACTTGTGTTATCTGGTTGAACAATAATTTGTATGTGGTATTTCATTAGGAAGGTTTCACATTCTTCTGTTTATTTAAGTCTCCTGGACTGAAATTAAGGGAAGGAAATATATATTCTTTATACTCCTTTTTGAGTTAAATTTAAAGATCATTATTTTCTAATAACCCACATTTTTGCCTAGCAAGCACTGTATTGTATCTGTTCCATTACAGTATTGGTTAAAATATTCAAAATACATATGTGTGTGTATATATATATTTCTTTATTTTTGGCATTTTTCTGCATTGTATTTACTTAGGACTAACCTAAATCTCCTAAGCTGACCAAACATCATGTAATGTTAATAATGGCTGGAGATGGCATGAATGGGTAATGAAGAAAAACTTTAACATAACAGCAAATGTACAACGTTTCAACAAGGTTTTGTCATCATCAGGTGATATTAAATAACTTTACAAGTTTAGTGTTGATCCTGTTCTTGCAGAAAAACAGATGATTTGTGTGCTTGATAGCTCTTTACAAAAATGAACGTATAAAAACATTAAACTGTTGATCTTATTATTAATACAGGCACCTTTTATTTTTATCCAGACTAGAACTGGAAATTGAACCTTTGTTTGGAATCATGGCACTATATGATGCAAAAGAAAAGAAAAAGGTAGAACTGAAAAAATATTATTATGTGATTACAAAATTTAAGGGCTTTGTTTATAAATTGAAAATTTTATGCTAAGTGTGTATCAGTTTCTGATGTCTTATGACTAGTAGTTTTGTATGACTTAGGATTTTAATAAAATATCATAAAAACCTCCCATTTCCTTAACTCGTTAAACCTGAGTGGACACTGCCAGCATCCAGCTGAAAATCCCAATTTACCCATCAGACGGTTACAGTATCTGATAACATTTATGTCTCTTTGGCTGAAAACTAATCCAAAAACCTTTTATAAATAGATTGAAAATTTTATAAGGTTTGGTGATAATTATTAGGATATCATGAAAATATTTCCGGCAGAACGAGCAAAAAATTATGGGTTTAAAGAGTTAAGTCAGTAATCTATTTCTTTCTTTCTTTCTCATTATTACTAATTCAAGTTTGTTATTTACACAATTTTGTTTGACATGAGATTTCTATTAATTCAGTTACATTCAAAAATCTCTAGATTTAATTGAAGTACAATTCTATTATTTATTTGAATATAAGATTTATTTTCCTGAATTTTAGGTTTCAGAAAACTTCTGCTTTGACCTCAATCCAGAGCCTTTTAAGAGAATGCTTTCTTCTCACGTTCCATATCAAGACATCTCAACTCTTAGTCGCTCCTGTATTTTTAACATCACTTACCCTTCCCCTGACCTGTTCTTGGTTGTTAAGGTATGTTTTAGGTTATCACTTTACCTGGCAATTTTGTTTTTTTACTAAGTTAGTTTATCAGTGAATATGAACAATGCTAGAGTTGATTTTACATGGAGAAAGATTTTGTAGGGATTTGGAAATTATTTTTTATGTTTTATATTTAATGCAAACATTTAAGTCATGCCTAAATGTAAGTTATTTTTTGGTATTACTTAGCCTCACTTATATCTACCTTCATGTATATTATAAATTAGGTATTTATATTAATTCTTCATGCACCTAAAACTGTACACAAACTTTGTTTTAGCTGGAAAAAGTTCTTCAGGGAGACATTAATGAATGTGCTGAACCGTATATGAAAGATGATAAAGTAAGTGATTTTCACTAAGAAGGGATTGGTAACTTGAAACGTGAAAAAAATGTAGATGTACAGTGTATAAGGTATAACTACTGGACATACACTCACCTCCAGATGGAGATAATATAACTATATTAAATTAAAGTAATAATGTCTAGAATAAATATGCAAAACAAGAAACAAATTGGCCAAAATACTGTGTTTGGGCATTATAAGCAAATATATTTTTCTATTTATGTTCTTATTTATTTACTTACTAAAATAAATAAGTAATTTGCTATAAACAAGCTATGTCTTTCTATTGTTTTGTTAGCTACTTGTTCCACAAGACAGATCTCTATTTTAGTTTGTGAACATTTCTTACTTTTAATTGGAGTAATGTTACAATTCCAGTTATTGTCGTATGTTTCAGGATATATATACTTATTTTAAAATTTGTGATACATAAAGTAATAAGCTGTACTTTCTTTTATAGAATCGAGATAAGGTTAAAAGCAATGCTGTGTCTAGCTGTGACAGGCTTGGGAAATACAGAATGCCATTTGCATGGACAGCTATTTACCTGATGAACATCTTCAATGGAGTTAACAGTTTAGACAGAGATTCTGTATCAAATAAAGATGGCAGTAGATCAAATAGCTTAGGTAGACATCTTCACTAATAGTTTACAGTTTGGATGGAAAAACTCACTTTCTACATTATGCAAGTGCTTTATTCAGTCTAAATATAAGTATCGGGAATTCATGAAAAAGAACGATATAGCACATGATTCTTTATGGATAGAGTAGCTGCTATTTGCTAAATTTGGGATCCTTTTTTCACTTTTTATCTACTCTTTCTCTTCTTTTTTCTTTCTATTACAAAAAATCTCTTTTTCCTCTAAGGACTGGTACTTTTCAGTATTGCATTTTTTTTCTATTTTCTTAGGTTGTAACCTGCTGCATAAGTTAATACAATAATTTCTTTTTCATTTTCTTATGTTAGTTCGTTTATATAATGTGTTGTGTCACCTGTTTGTCTTATTGTCCTTTGTAAAAAAATTGTCCAGATCAAAACCATGATGCACCATTTAATTATTAATGCTTTAATAACTTAATGATCAGGCTATTACTAAGATGGTATTATTCGATTTAAACATTTTCAACTTTAAGAAGTTGCAGGATTGATGTGTGATGTTTTTTAGATCGAAAAGGAAGCAACAACTCCTTGGAAAACTTCCGTAAGAAGTCAGCCGGAGATTCTGGGTCATTAGGTCGCCGAGGTTCTCTTGAAAGAAGGAGTGGGTGTGAGAAAAGAAGAAGCTGGTCACCTGATGACTTTGGCTCAAGTTTAGACAACTTTCGAGCAGTGACGCTCACTGTGAACAGTTTTTTTAAACAAGTATTTATCAGTGAATTTCTAATTTCTCAGAACAATAAGATTTCTCTCTATTCGGACAGTTTAAAATATTTTCAATAACAGTTTTAGTAATTACACAGGCCTGCGATGGTTTTATTGTCTTGAAATTTTTACATGTTCTACTGAATCCGAAAATGATATCCATTTTTCTCCATCATGTATATATTTTTCACAAAGCGTCATATGTACTTTTACATTAATGAATCATTTTCATTGAAATTGGGTCACATTTTATTATGCTTAAAATGATGACAACCACTGGCTATAGGTTTCTCTAGATCAGTCGTGACGTGAGATTCTTATCAATTGTTCTAGAACCCATGAGAAACACACCGTTAGTATATAAACAGTTAACAGGCCACATGATGTGTCATTTCTGGATAGTATTTGTTTGTGCATGCACTTTGACATTATTTTTTCTTTTCAATATTATTTATTCATCGCTATGGTAATAAGATATTGTGTAAATGACCCAAACATATATTATATTTGTGGTAAATTTGTTGTAAAGAAACAAAGGCAAAACATTATAGAATTTGTTCAAAAAGCATATTACGCGTATTTTGGAATAAAACTTGGGGACTAAGACTAAACATGGGGCCTTCACAATGATTCCACCATTTGTGCCAAAGAGTTGGGACAGTGAACTAAAGGTAAGAAAAAGTCTTTGCCTTTTGGAATTCCAATGGTCTGGTGTGAGCCTAGAAACCACGGAGATGAGTGCTATTTTTTGCTTGAAATAAAAAGGAAATTTCTTATCTGAACCTTCAATCAGCTATAAGACCTGTTGCTCATGGACCTGATGTTCCTGTACCTACTCCGCTGGAGACTTTTGATCAGGGATGTCAAGACATCAGGGATATTGAGAGGAGGTATGAGGGAATGTGGAACATCAGCATGATGGCTGGTTACTGCTGGTCATTGAAATGAGATGCTCTAGATGTAATACATAGAAGAAAGACCACAACATGTAGTTTTGAGACTAAAAGACGTAGATTTCACACAAAAAATTATGATGAATAAGGATGTATGTTCATTTGACATCAGAATTCTTCCCTTTTCTTCAGTTTGTTTGTATTTTTGTTAACAAACATAATAATAATAAAAAATGTTCATTCTGGTAAACGAAATGATAATTTGATCTAAGTATGTTTTTTTATTCCTGATTTGTAAAAAATCTGTATGTGATAAAAAAAAAAAGAGTTAATATTACTTTCGAAATCTGCATAGGTGAATTATGGAAAATCCGTTATTAAAACCAAACAACTTTTATGAAATTTAAATTCACAGGCCTGTGTTATTTTAAAGACCAGTGACATAAAATACTTGGTGGATTTCAGACTAAAACCTTGAAGAATTTCAAATTTTTTGGATGAAATCAAAATTTGTCTTTGTTATTGACAGATTAGTGTCTGTGTTTTGAAATAAATATACTCTCTAGTGAATATTTTGCAGAAAGTCAGTAGAAACTAGGAACTCTATAATGTTATTTGTGTACAAAGAATCATTTTGATTTTTCTGATATTTTATAAAGGAAATTTTTTTGTAATGGATATTAAAACCATTTATGTTGTACAGCAGATTGCTTTCTTCAGGTTATGCCAGGTTTTTCAAATATTAATAATAAATTTTTTGTCTAAATTTTAATGTTGTTCAACAAGAGAAAAGTTAAGTATGGATTACTGGCACTTATGTAATATTTAAAATTATAATTAATAATTAAAAACAACTTTACTATTTATACAATTAAAATGTTATTGAAGCCGTATGACTTCCACTTTAAAACAACACTCTACAAGTACTAGTTTCGACATGATCTACGTCATCTTTAGGAGTTACTTACAAGACTCTTACAAGCCATGCTTTATACTTTTATCCCTTTTCACATTGCTTCACTATTATTTACATATTCCCTTGGTCTAATTTTTAATTTTTATTTATAATTATTATATCTTGCCATATATCAACATATTTTCTTGCTGGTCCTTCATCTCTATTTAATACTTCTTTTTGTTTTTATATTTCATTATTTCTAATGTTTCTCTAATATTTAATGCTATAATACTACGAGGTTGAGCCAAAATTAAAGTTTTTCCCCATAATACAGTGTGTTGGTTAGTTTTACCTGTTCAGCTATACCTGAGGTTTCTATTATTAATTTAATTCTAAGAGTCAAGTTAGTTTTATTCTAGCTTTCTTTAAAAGAATAATGTAAGTGAAATGTAAATAGAGTGACAGAAACCTACCATTTAGTTATGTTTTATAATCTACATATGTAGATATTTAAAGACTAATAACATATGTGATTGTATCATTACTTTCGTACATATGTCAGTATTTAAAGACAATAACATATGTGATTGTATCTTTACTGTCATACATATGTCGGTATTTAAAGTCAATGATACACGTGATTGTATCATTACTGTCGTACATATGTCAGTATTTAAAGACAATAATACGTGTGATTGTATCATTACTGTTGTACATATGTCAGTATTTATAGACAATAAAAAGTGTTGTAATAATTTTGTGTTTCTTTTGTTGTGTTAGTCAGTAATACCTTGATAAAGTTATTTTTCAACAGGAAAGTGATCGTCTGAGAGACGAAGACTTGTACAAGTTATTGCTAGAACTGAAGCGATCTTCGTCAGTTTTAAAAAGACTCAAATGTATTCCAGGTAAGAATAAAAGTTAGTAATCAGTCTGCACTGTTTGAAGTAAATAAAACTGTTTTATAATACATAGTAGATAACAACCAACATTGGAAAAGTTTGAGATATAATTAATTTCATAATGTTTTACTTATAAAGCTAGATTAGTTTATTTGTTAATAGAAGTTAAGGTCAGGGGCAAAAACTCCTTAACTCTCAACAAAAATAACTTCTGTTTAACATTGTCTTGGTAATGTAAAGTTGGTTTATTTAACTTTCTTCATGGAGTTGGTCAAAAAGCTGTACATGATAATCTTCACTCTAATTCTGAATTTTGTATCTTCATAAAACTTGGCAGGCTCTTAGTGAATGCTACAAGTCAGTTGAATGAAAAAAATCATATTTTATCATAAAGTATTTTTACTAAAGATTTGTCTGTGAACTTCCAAAACTCAGTCTGAATGAAAGTTGATTTTCATGTTAAGAGTAAAAATGAATATTTAAAAAAGAATTCCGATACAATGTCTCACCTTCTCTCATGAAAAGCTTTCTCAGTTTATACTGCCACATATCGGTGGAAATTTTTGCTCACTTCTAGCCTTGATATTCCCACTTATCCTCACATATGTTAACGTGATACTAACATGCAAATGATTATGCAGCAGTCCTCCACCAATAGGAATGTGACATTACCCCTATCGTAACTAGCACTCTCTCTAATTTTGCAGCTGTTAATTACTTCTTGATTGGTAATCTTACTGAATAGTATTTTTTATTTGCTTGCAGTTTTATTGACTTCTCTGCAAGTTTTTACTTTCTTAATTTTTCTACTTCAGTTCAATTGTTATTTACCATTTTTGTGGAGAATTACAATTTATTTTATTTATCTTCTCTCTTTTTTTTTTATTGTGAGAATTATGCTATCGCAATTTCAAGTGGTCTCGATTACATCTGCTGTTAGTGCTGCAGCAGATTTACTGACCACGTCCGCTGGGTCAGAGCCCCAAGTATTGGCCCATGACATGATGGCCCTAATATGTTGGGAGTTGACCAATTTCATGCAATATTCAGAGTTAACTGACGATTGCCCTTTTATTCCTGCTCAGGATTTGAGTGGTCAGGAAGACGAGGATTTGGACAGCTTTTTCCCCCCTTCTAAATATGCCTGTCAGTCGTGTGTCATTTTGTGGGAATTTCCCAGACCTCCTCCTTTTGTGAAGTTGATTAATCAGGTATGTTCTGTTCTGTCCTTATCTCCTGTTTCCTATGATTCCACCTGTGCCCTTCTTGGGGAAGAGCCTTTGGGTCATTATTTAGTGTTTCCTCCTTTCCTGGATATTGGAGTGCATTTGAGTTATTTTGGGAAGCAACTACATTTGGGGGCTAGTATGCCTCCACCCACACATACTATGGAGGATCATACTCTCACTTATCATCATTCCAACTTCCACTATTGAGACTCACTGGGTTTGGAATCATTTCTCCCTTTATGGGGATCAAACTCTGATACTTTACTTACCTTTTCCCAACCACAGCATTCACATATTTGTCTTACTTTTACCACCCTTATCCATTCCTTATCTTCCCTTCACCTTTTGTCTGAGCCTATTCATCATTTCCCCTTCCTCTTCCTGTTGGTATCATATCAGTTGAGATGCCATTTTATCTCGGGTTTGCTTACCTTCCATCTCATTGTGTGATTTGGGCATAGCACCATTTTTTGCAATGATAGGTGTTTGAGGATATCCCCCACTCGTTGTCATCAAGGGTTGAGTCAGCCCATCTGAATACCCCCTCTCATCCTTGGCCTCTTGTTTATCCCATAACCTGTTCCCCTCCCTGAGTCTTGCTTCCTTTTCCAATCCCTTACCAGATATATGGACAGGTGTTATTTTCAGGGCATCCAGCATCAGGTGTTATTGGTTGGTGGGGGCCAGACTCCTTCACTTTGCTAACATTTGTAGGTCCTTTGCAGTAATTCCATGGGTTCTGAATGTTGTCTGTGAAGGTCAGGTCGTACTCTTCCATTACTCTCCCCATTGTCTCTCACTCCTGTTTCCTTCCCTCCTCATCTTTTGGAGGTGGTTCAGGACTTACTTCACAAGGATGCCTTTGAACAAGGAGATCATTCTTGTCTAAGATTTTACTCTTGTCTGTTTGTTGTTCCCAAAAAGACGGAGGATTGACACCCAGTCATCGATTTACCATCACTAAACCAGTTCCTTGTCTTTTCCAAGTTCACCATGGAGTCGTACTTAGCTCTTCGTTGGGTTTTCATTCCAGGTTTGTGGATGACATGAGTCACTGTGTTGGATGCATATCTTCATATCCTCATCTTCACTGCATCCAGACAGTATATTTGCTTTGTTCATCATGGATGTGTATTTCAGTTTTGGGCACTTCCATTCAGACTTGCCTCAGCTCCACATATTCTGTTAAGTGGTTCGGGCTTTTGCCCTCCTGCTTCATTCCAGAGGCCTTCGTTTCCACTATTGTATGGATGACTGGTTACTTCTTGCCTCCTCACAAGATGACTCAGTCCTACATACTCAATTTCTTCTCCAGGAATCTGCCAGGGTGGGTTGGCTTGTCAAAGTGGTGAAGTCTTTTCTCACACACACACAATATTTGGTTCATGTCTGTGTGTTTTCAACTCCCTCCTTAGTCGGGCCCAACCTTCTCCACTTCAGTTGAGAACTATGGAACGTCTCGTATGCAGCATCTCATTCTCTCCTCCTACTGTGCAAGAGATTCTCTCTCTTTTGGGGATGTGGGCTTTTCCAGAAGCCCTCATTCCTCTTGGTTGCACCCACATGTGCCATATTCAGTTGGTTTTGATAGACCAATGAAGCCTTGTTTGAGATTGCTTAGATGACCCTCTTACCCTTCCCCTTTCTTACAGACTGACTTTACCAAGTGGTTGGATCAGGACAATACTACCATAGATGTTCCCCTTCATGTCCAGAATGTCACCTTTTTATGTATTCTTCTCTTTCTGGTTGGGGTCATATCTTGGCACTCAGGAGGTTTCAGGGCATTGGACACTTACCTAGTCCTCTCTCCGTATCAACCTATTGGTACTTTTTGCTGTTTGTTGAGCTTTACTTCATTTTCTGCAGGATCTTCGGGGGCCAATTGGTAATGGTCCACTATGAAAATTCTATGGTGGTCTCATACATCACCAGACAAGGGGGCACTTGGTTGAGAGACCTCTGTTTTCAAACATTGGATTTCTGTATTGGCATGTGCCATGAATTTGGTTGTGGATCAGGTGTCCCATCCCACAAGAATCTCCCTACGGAGTGATCTTTGGTTCCTCACATTTTTCAGGGGTTATGTGCTCAGTGGGATGTCCCAAATTTGGATTTTTTGGAACTCATCTTAATACATTATTTCCATCCTTCTTCTATTGGAGTATGAGAGTCCTTGTCAGTTACCAGTTCCTAGCCACTTGGGTGGTGGACCATGGAGGCCTGTCCTCCCGATTGTGCATAATACCACTCAATTGAGAGTAGGGTGGGGATATTCTGCTGGTGTAGATGGCATGATGCCCCTCCTACCCGGGACCTGATGTATAATTCCAGATGCTGCCAGGTGTTGAATGTAGCACTCTACCATCTATATAGATTGCAGTTTGCCCCTCCAGCTGAGGAGCCCTTTTTCCGATCATCCTCCAGTAAGTTATTGTATCAGATGCTAACATTTTCTTAAACTGAAAAGGTATTTTCGATAGATACTTACCTTTTCTCACATTTCCCCCCCCATCCTCTCCACTTCGAGTGTGGTTTGGTGTGATATGACCAATCTCAAAGTGGTTAATGGCTGCAAGATTAGAGAGGGCATTAGTTACAATACAGGTAGTGTCGCATTCCTATTGCTGCATTTGCATATTGGTATACAGATATCTCACATTAACGTACATGAGGTAAGTAAAAGTATCAAAGCTAGTGGTGAGTGAAAATTTGTGCCAATAGAGGGCAGTATAAATCGAGGAAGCTTTTTTTGAGAAGAAGGTAAGTATCTATAAGAAATACAGTTTCAGTTTAAGAGAATGTTAACTTTGGTAAAAGTTTATATTTTATCTCTTATTTTCACTGCACTGTATGTAGTGAAATCATCAATGTGGAGTGAAATGAAAAGTTGAAAAATAAAAAATATAATGAATGATACAATTTTTTCTTCTTCACTGACTGCAGTATTGAGCAAAAAGATATAAATTAATTATCTTCTGACCTTTTCACATCTGCTTTGTTTTAATTTTATGGTTTTATTGTTGTACTTTGAGCAGACTACTGCACATAAAAAAACCAATAAATCACTCCAGGAGTGAACTAACTCTTTCCTCTAGAGATACCACACAATTGTGAGGTGTTCTGTTACACATGGTCAAGCTAATATAATTTTATTTTACTGAAGTTTTGTTAGGCTAAACTGAGAAGTTTATAATGTTTACATGTTAGTAAATTTTGTTTAAAAATATGTAACAATAGATAAAAAATATACATAAAAAAGAATGATTTGTAGCACTTACTGCATACTCTGTACTGTATGCACTCAATTAGACATTCTTCCATAACCCATTTTGAGTCTCACAAATTTAGGTGCCCAAAAAAAAGAATTCATTTTGCTTTCAACAACACAGTTTGGAAACAAAAATATTTACCAGTCACTAGAATAGAATGTACAAAGTTACTATAATATATTTGACTTTGTAAGTTAGCTATAAACAGGTTTAGGATATCCGTTAGACATTTGGAGCAGGCAAACGATGTCTGCATAAAAAGAAACTACAACAGATGATTATTGTATAGATCTTAAAATAAAATAACTCTGATGAACTTTATGTAACAAAGCATCGGCTCTTTCTATTGATTGTAAAGATGCCCATCAACCATGCAAAGTTGATTAATAGAACAACCTTGAAAGTCAGAAATAAAGAGGAGGTGAATCTTTGATTGATGTAACAGATTTATTGATATCTGAGGAAATCAAGAAGATAGGAGGTTTAAATTTGATATTCTTGCTTGAAATTATGTATAGTTGGTGTTTCTAATTGATTTTAAATTATAGCAGACTGTTTTCAATATTAGAAACTTTTGAAAGGGAAAAATCAAAGCTCAGACACATCATGTGACATGGAAAAATGAAGATTGAGAATTTGTTTAATATTTCTATGTGAAATTAAGAAGATAAAATTTAGATAACATACAAGTCTAAATTATAAACTATATTTTGATACCAAGTTCACTGACATACATTGATAATAAACTTTAATTAAATTGGGAAAGCATAATTATAATTAATTACAGCTGTCATAGTATATTAGGCCTGTTATATTTTATCACTAGATTCATTATTCAGTCCCTTTGAGACTCTCCAAGAAGAAGAAATAGCTTATGTAGATAGTATTCTGATCACTACTATGTTGTATCCCAGCCAGCCTGATAAGCTTTGTATTGAGTGAAACATGTTGTAGGCAGTTGATATTATGGACATAGTGTAGTTGAAATACTATTATTCACTCTTTACTTTGAAAAAACTCTTAAGGGACTGAATAACAAATGAATTCAGATATTGTTTGACATCAGACTTGTTTTTATCCTATTCAGTATAAAATATTTCAATTCTTCTTGTAGGAACGTTAAAACTAGACATATCACCATGTCCAGAGGAAGTCAGATATTGTCTGACATCAGACTTAACTCGTCTTCATCCTTACCCAGATGAAAAAGGACGACCAACAAAAGAATTGATGGAGTTTCCTCCAAAGGAGGTTTTTGTGCCCCACTATGTGTATCAAAATCTGATGTTTGTTTATCCAAAAGACTTGAACTTTACTAACAGGCCAGGATCAGCTCGTAATATAGCTTGTAAGACTCAGTTCATGGCTGGAGAAGAGGAACACTGTGCTCTGCCAGTTAGTAAATCCTATTATCTTTGTGGTTTTTTTGCACAAACAATCTAATGTTGTATGTAGCCATACTTCAGTTCCATTTTTCATTCTTATTAATCTTAAATAATCTAGACTTCTTTAAATCTAGATCTTAAAAAATTCTAACTAGACTGAGAATAATGGAAGTGGCCATATTTGATTTCTTGAATAAATATTGCCATGATGCCACATTTTTCACATAAAGTTATTGAAACCTGATCTTGGAAAAATGGTTTACTATACTTTAGTTGCACACAATGTCAAGTAAAACACATCATAATTATTATACTTAAAGTGAACTTTAGTGGTTTGAAATAAAGTTTAAAGTAACCAATTAATGCTTAGTTTTTTGCAACTGTAAAATAAAAGATAATTTTTGTTGTTGTTAGGCTTACAAATATATCTGTTAATGACATCCAGTACTCAAAAGATGAAGTAAAAGCCTTAGCACATATAATTTAATTGTTATATTTTTCAAAGTTCCAAATCTTTTTTCAACAATTCTAGTTTATTTTGTTGTTATGGAAACAAGATTCTCAACAAAATAAAAAAAATTTAAACAATTTAAATGTTTTTGTAAAAATTGATGTTAGTTTATGTTTATTTATAACAACTTGAAAAGTGTGCTTTAACATGTATTATAGAATGAAGTAGTCTTTAATTTTGTCTGTTTTAAAATTTGTTTTCGTGTATTTGTACTTGGTTTATTTACACAAGTTATTTTTTCTCTCTTTGGTGAATGGAGTCCAACAATTGGGGTGACAGTCATTGGTGCTGAACAGTTTTTTAGTCTGTTCTTGTCTCCCACAGTCACTGGCATGAATAGCAGTATGATCAGTTCTTGTCTCCCACACTCATTGGCATGAAAAGCAGTATGATCGGTTATGGTCTCTCTCGGTCACTGGCATGAACAGCAGTATGATCGGTTATGGTCTCTCTCAGTCACTGGCATGAACAGCAGTATGATTGGTTCTGGTCTTCCTCAGTCACTAGCATGAACAGCAGTAATGATCGGTTCTTGTTTCCCACAGTCACTGACATGAACAGCAGAATGATCGGTTCTTGTCTCCCACAGTCACTGACATGAACAGCAGAATGATCGGTTCTTGTCTCCCACAGTCACTGGCATGAACAGCAGTATGATCGGTTATGGTCTCTCACAGTCACTGGCATGAACAGCAGTATGATTGGTTCTTGTCTCCCACAGTCACTGGCATGAACAGCAGTATGATCGGTTATGGTCTCTCTCAGTCACTGACATGAATGACATTACAATTGTATCTTGTTTCCCATGGTTACTGGCATGAACAGCAGTATGTTTGTTTCTTGTCTTCCATGGTCACTGGCATAAACAGCAGTATGTTTGATTCTTGTCTCCCATGGTCACTGGCAAAAACTGCAGTACAATTGGATCTTGTTTCCTATGGTTACTGGCATGAACAGCAGTATGTTTGTTCTTGTTTCCCATGGTTACTAGCATGAAGATCGGTATGTTTGGTTGTTGTTTCACATGGATACTGGCATGAACAGCGGCATGTTTGGTTCTTGTCTCCCATAGTTACTGGCATGAACAGCAGTATGTTTGTTCTTGTTTCACACGGTTACTGGCATGAACAGCAGTATGTTTGTTCTTGTTTCACACAGTTACTGGCATGAACAGCGGTATGTTTGATTGTTATCTCCCATGGTCACTGGTAAAAACAGCAGTACAATTAGTTTTTGTCTCACATGGTCACTGGCATGTCCAGCAGTACAATTGGTTCTTCTCTCCCACAGTCACTGGCATGACCAGCAGTAAGTTTGTTTTTTGTCTCCCACAGTCACTGGCATAACCAGCAGTAGGTTTGGTTCTTCTCTCCCATTGTCACTGGCATAACCATCAGTGGTTTTTCTTTGTTTCAGTTAATTTTACTTTTGCTTATACTTTTTAGCACAGTTTTTTGTTAATTTATGTTTTAGTCTTTTATTGAAAAATCAACATCTGAAAACCTGTGTCTTTTTATCTGTCTTTTACAGTATTTCCTTAAACTTGTGTCATATTTTTGTTGTCACTATTATTTCTTCTAATGATACTAACCTCCATTTTTCCTTTGCTCCTATTACTGGGCTCCATTCCTCCAGAAGGTGTCTACTATTTGTTTCAACATTGTAGTGTTTTGTTTAAGTATTTATAAACAATTGGTACTTACTCATTTGAAGAGCTTGTGTTTATATTTTTATGTTTCTTTATAAAGGTTATATTTGGAAAGTCCAGCTGCCCCGAGTTTTCACAGGAGGCTTATACAACTGTTACCTACCACAATAAGTGAGTGTTAGTACCTTGTATATGTGTGTGCCTATAAGATGTAAATTTGAGTGTTAGCACCTTGTGTGTGTAAGATGTAAGTTAGAGTGTTACACACGTTTATGAAAAACTACAGTACATTGTGAATTAATATTACATTATAGATATGGTGTTTTTAGTTGTCTTTTACTCACCATGTTAAACCTATGTTTATATTACATTTTAATAATATGTAGCATTGATGAAAACAATCTATTCTTTTAAATTACTCATCAAACAAGCTCTTTAACCTTTCTATATGGGTCTTCCTATGGTCTTGGGTCAAAGACCATGTCATTACGTTTGTAGACTTGCATTTAAAATTTTATTGAACTACAATTTTATGAATGTGTTTGAATAAGTTTGGTATAAAATTGTAGCTTATATTCAAATTTTAGCATTATACATTAATTAATTCCTTAATTTAAAATTAAACATTAAAAGAAATTCCTACATATAGATTTTGTGTGTCACGTGGTTATGTCGAATGCAGCATTGGTTCAAATTAGATGTTTGTGATGTCGAAATACAAAGTCTATAGCTTCTTACGAATTAGGAACTCAAATTACCGATATTTACAAGCTGGAATATAAAATAAGAACCTCCTATTATTTTTGTTTTGCTGAGATATCACTACATTAACTGAATCAAACACAGTGGCCCCACCCACCTCTGTCCATTTTTGGAAGGACTTGCTTACATACACCTACTTTTGTCTATGATGTGTGAAAAACCAAGTGAAAGCTCATAATGTCCCCCTAGCGACTTCCTCAGCCTCTTTGAAGTATTTGGGTGGCAAACTCGTTCTTTTGGTGCTAGATTTCAAGTGGTAAGGTGAGCTTGAACTTGCATATTTTTTAGACCCAAATGCAACTTAGTTACTTAGCTTGTTAAAGTATAGTGGAATTCTGTGGTATTGATATAGTAATTTATGATTTTTGACAATTTAAAAAATATATATAAAACCTAACAAAATTATTTCATTTCACATCCTCCATGTGCAAAATTTGGTAATGCTTAGCAACCTACAGAAAGCAGCAAATGAGTACAAAGTTCGTAACTTGAAGATATAATTGTTTTCTATAATTCTTTATTTACTGTTCTATGTTTTAAGAAAAATAAGTTTAAGAACTTATTTGTAAATAGTAATAATGTATTATAAGTGAAATGTGACTGTATTTTACAAAATATTAGTCCACTAAAACACAGCCAAGACAGGTCACTTTGTGAAGGCCAGTTTTATATTCTTCGATACTGTAACATGAGTGCACATGCACTGCATTGTTGCATCATTTTTTTAAGATTTTAGCAATTTTCTATTATACTCATCTTTTTTAATAGGTGTCCAAGTTTCTACGATGAGATAAAAATTAAGTTACCAGCAAAACTCTCTGAGCAGCATCATCTTCTCTTCACATTTTATCATATCAGCTGCCAGAAAAAAGTTGAGCAAACACCGATAGAAACTCCAGTTGGTTACACAGTAAGTTAAATTATGCTTGAAGAACAGTTAGATAAGTATATGAAATTTTTCTTAGTTCTTGATTATGATCACTTGGAGAAAAGTCAATTAGCTCATACAAATTTATTTTTAATCGGGTTTTTATTTGGGAAAATGAACAAAAATGCTTGCTTCCTAGAAGTATAAAAATAAATTGAGAAATTTACTTGGATCATTAGCTAATAATACTTCTTCCCCATCTTTAAAGAAAAGATAATTTTAAAAGAGAAAATGAGGTCATATTGCTACATAATGGAATCTTTTGAAAATTTTTTAGAGGGCTACATCTGAATGAGTTTTAAAAATAATATTCCAGGTTTAATTAGTGCTAATATCTACAAATTTTAATGGGCAAGCAACAATGGACTCAGAAACATAACTATCTTTACAGACAGATAAAGTGAACATAAAAATAATTATAAACAAGCTAAACTGAATACAGAGACATTTGCAAATGAACAAGCTACAAGGAATATGGTGACACCTATCAATGGACAAACTACAGTGAACACGGTAACACTTGCAAATGAACAAGCTACAAGGAATATAGTAACACCTATCAATGGACAAACTACAGTGAACATGGTAACACTTAAAAATGATTAAGATAAAGTAATCATGGTAACACAAAGAAACAAGTTACAGTGAACATGGTAACACAAATGAATAAGCTCTAGTGAACATGGTAGCACTTAGAAATGAACAAGCTACAGTGAACATGGTAACACTTACAAATGAACAAGTTACAGTGAACATGGTAACACTTGCAAATGAACAAGTTACAGTGAACATGGTAACACTTACAAATGAACAAGCTATAGTGAACATGGTAACACTTAAAAAGAATAAGCTACAGTGAACATGGTAAAATTTACTTGTAGCTTATTCATTTGTATGTGTTACCATGTTTCCTGTAACTTGTTCATTTTGAACATGGTAACACTTATAAATGAACAAGTTACAGGAAACATGGTAACACATACAAATGAATAAGCTACAATGAACATGGTAACACTTATAAATGAATAGGGTATAGTGAACGTGGTAACACTTACAAATATTTAAGCTACAATGAACATGGTAACACTTACAAATGAATAAGCTACTGCACAGGAAACGTGGTAACACAAATGAACAAGCTGTAGTGAACATGGTAACACAAATGAACAAGCGACAGTGAGCTAGTAACACAAATGAACAAGTTGCAGTGAACATGGTAACACAAATGAACAAGCTACAAGGAACACGGTAACACAAATGAACAAGCTTCAAGGAACACGGTAACACAAATGAACAAGTTACAGTAAACATGATAATACTTACAAGCAAACAAATTACAGTGAACATGGTAACACAAATGAACAAGCTACAGTAAACATGATAATACTTACAAATGAACAAGCTACAGGGAACATGTTAACTTACAAACAAGATGTATTGGACAGAGTCATTTAAAAAATAAATGGTAGATAAAACATATAAATGAGCTTTAATAGACACAAAAAAACATAAACGTGAGAAACTATGAGTGACACAAACACACAGGTGAACAAGCTACATTGACAGAAACACACATGCGGATAAAAACAGCTAACATGGAAACAAAAATAAACAGATGAAAAAAACTAATATGAATACAAACAAATGAAAAAAGCTAATGTGAACAGAAAAACACACAAACAGTTGAAAATAAGCTAACATGGACACAAAAACATACACACAGATAAAAAACACTAGAGTGGACACAGAAACATTGCAGGTGGAGGAACTCCACTGAACAATAACAATTTTAAAGATATTTAGTATGCCAGTTTTATTTTTTGTTATATATTTCTATTTTAATTTCTTTAAAATTCTGATAATATCTGTTGTTTGTGACAATTTTGCACTTCATAACAAAATGTATGTTTAATCATGTTACTTATGTTAGCAATTAGTTTAAAAGTGATGTTTTTGTTATTTTTTAATTACATAAACATTTTAATAATCTTTATTACATTCTCTAGTGTTTAAAGTAACAAAGATACTAATCCTCTAATAAAAACTTGTAGTGGCTTCCGTTGTACAGAGATGGACGGATTCAAACCGGGGAACACAACTTGCCAGTTATAATGGAGAGTCCCCCATCAAGTTACTGCTTTCTTTCACCCTCGGTTTGTAACTCTTTCTTTAGAGTTGTGTTTGTGTATATTTCTAAACTTACTTGTATTCCTTTCATCTTCTTTCTCTGACAATTTCAGTATGTGCACAAACTTCAACATTCCTTCTCATACTTTTCGTGTATATCTTTACAGACATTACTGTTTTTACCCAATTGTGTGTATATAGCAGGTTGTGTATTAACATGTCTGATGTTTTGTTCTGGTATTAGTATCTTTGTGTACATAATAACTGTTACATTTCGTGTAGCATCATGTGCATGTTACAGGGTACTGCAGTTTTTTTTTTATGATTGGTAAGTGTTCATGTGTCATCATTATGCTGTGTTCACATGTTGGCTAAAATGCATTTGTGCATGTAAGTGTGCACATGTCATATTTATGACATGTCCATGTGTTTGCTAAACCTCCTCATTTGTACATTTAAGTGTGCATGTGGCATCTTTATGACATGTCCATGTGTTTGCTAAAACTCCTCATTTGTACATTTAAGTGTGCATGTGTCATCTTTATGACATGTCTGTGTGTTTGCTAAAACTCCTCATTTGTACATTTAAGTGTACATGTGTCATCTTTATGACACTTAAATGTACAAATGAGGAGGTTTAGCAAACACATGGACATGTCATAAAGATGACACATGTACACTTAAATGTACAAATGAGGAGTTTTAGCAAACACACAGACATGTCATAAAGATGACACATGCACACTTAAATGTACAAATGAGGAGGTTTAGCAAACACACGGACATGTCATAAAGATGACACATGCACACTTAAATGTACAAATGAGGAGGTTTAGCAAACACATGGACATGTGCACGTGTCATCTTTATGACATGTCTGTGTGTTTGCTAAACCTCCTCATTTGTGTTCGATGTGCATGTGTCATCTTTATGATGTATTCAATTGTTGGCTAAAATTTTTCATCTATAAGAGTAAATGTGCATGTGTCATTGCTGGATATTTTTGGGTAATGTAATAGTTAATGAAATTTATACTTATATGGTGTTAATTTTAGTGAAAACATGATTTATCACCTCAAAGCTATATGTATATGTTCAATTTACTTCTGCTTTTAATTTTTATTTACCAAATTTATTCCTGCTGTCATAAAATCTATAGTGTAATTTTATATATTTTTACCCTGGTGTTTTCATTTGTTTTTGTCACATCTTTCATAATTATGTTTAGAAGATGCAGTGCTGTTGTAATTTGCTGTAACTCTTCTACAAAAATTGTAAACATTCTTGCTTGGATAGTATAAAATACTGAAAGAATCCAATTAAAAAGATAGAATTGAAACTGAAATACAAATATTTTTTTTTACGTATTTGATAGAAGTTCATAAGTATGAATGAAACTGTTTTTAAGTTGATTTAATATTCGTTAAGATAAAATACACCCAGAAAGTTTAATTTTTCATACATTAAATTTATATTTCATCACTTAGGTGGAGATTCCTAATACAAAATGGGTTGACAATCATAAAGGAGTCTTTAATGTTGTAGTGGAAGCAGTGTCTTCTATTCACGCCCAGGTGATTATTTATTTCTGTATCACCTTTGAGAAGGTCAAAGCACAGTGAGGATTTTCCTAAAGTTTTTCTTACTTATTATAACTATTAAATATTTTCTAAATATTGATTACTATTAGCAAAAAGGAGAAAGGTAGTGATGGAAACTGCATCTTCAATCCTGGTGTGGGGATTGATTTTATAATAGCTACAGCAGTGTTAGTCTCTTTAAGGGTGGTACATCTATATTGTACATCTTTGAAAAAGTTGTTACTGAGAATTTTTCCGTTGAAGTCATGGAGTTATATCTCTGATAAACTAGATAGATGTTCTTGTTTCATTAATTTTGGTAAATTTGGTTATTGATACTTATATTAAATAACCTGACTTCTTCAGGCTGTAGAGTTTTGAAAAGTTAGTTGGTCTAACATGGTCAAACTATGGATGAGACACTTGTTAATGGTTAAAAATAACCTGACTTGTTCATGTTCTATAACCCAGACTTTAGAATGGTTAGATAACTTGTAAATTCTGTAGATTAGAGACTTGTGAAGTGTCAAGTAATCAAATCTTTTCATTGCTTTAGATTAGAAATGAAGTAAGTTGTAATATTTTACCTCTATATTGTAACATTACAGAAATTTTAAGTTAATTTTCATCTTTTTCTTAGAAGGGGTCTTTATGCAAATAATCAAGGTAGATAATATTAATATTTTTTATATTGACACTAACATTAAACTTCAAAGAATAAAAAGTAACGTACATTTATTTAACAATGAAATTTCCTTTTATTTTTTTATGAAGATAGAGTCAAAGTTATATTTTTATTATCTTCTTTCAGGATGAGTTTTTAGACAGGTTTCTACATCTCTGTACAGCAATGGATGAAAATTTGATTCCCTCTCGTATTGGTGAAGCAAACATTGAAAATGAACTGAAGAACAGCATTTTAAAAATCACCAATTCTAACCCTGAACGTTTGGTTCAGTTTTTGCCCATCATTCTCAATAAGCTCATTTGTCTACTTGTACGACCACCGATTGTAGCTGGCCAGGTCATGAACATTGGACAGACAGCTTTTGAAAGCATTGCCAACATTGTGAAAAGTCTTGTTGTAAGTAGTTTTTGATGATTTGTTTGAATGTAAATGTTAAGTCTCCATGTCAGTAGTTTCTTCAAGTTTTTACAGACTGTTTTGAATGTAAATGTTAACTCTCCATGTCAGTAGTTTCTTCAAGTCTTTTATGACTGTTTTGAATGAAAGTGTTCAGTTGGCTTTATTAGCTTCCCCATGTAAGAATTATAGATTTTAATTACTTTTATCATGACTTAAGGAAATAGATAATTTTGTAAGTTATTTCATTGAAGGAAGGTTGTTTTCTGAAAACTCTTAGGTTTTTTTGATTGAGATGTACCTTTTTTTCATCCTATAACCTAATATATTACATTTTACAGTGTCCAATTTTTGTAGATACAAAATTTAAACTTTGTGTACATAGCTGTAGAGATTGTAGCATTTAATGTACGAAATAAACTCAGACATTTCTCACAAGTTTGAATTGTGTTATAGGATCTGTTGGAATCTCAAAACGATCAACATGGAAGGAATAATCTATTAACAACGTACATCCATTACCAGTGTACACTTCCCCATCTTGACATGTATCCTATGAGTGGTCACGTAACTATAAGTGGAGGCTACAGTACTGGGGGAAGACCAATCTCTCTACCACCACAGGTTTGTGAAGTTTCGTACTACGATTCTTCTAGTATTTGATGAAGAAAAGAACATCAGAGATCAAAAGTAAGCAGTCTTTTTGTATCAGTCCTAGAGAGGACAGTCAAAGGCAGTAGAGAAGGTATTGGTGTAGAGTTGAGAAACAGGAAGCAGCTGCTTGGTAAAATATTATTCGACTGGTGAAAGTGGGTACGACAAAAGGCAAAATTTGTTATACACTCAGAGATACCTATATACTGAGTATTAAAACACATTTATAAATAATTCATCCTTGCAATGATCTGGAAATGACCTAGTGATTAGTACTCTTAGACTGTGAATCCTAGGGTTCATGGTTTGCAGCCAGTTTTACATAAGCGAACTCTGCATTTTGGGTTCACGAATGCATTAGATGATGATGGTCAAACCCCACTATTAGATTGGAGATCATTAAAAGAGTGACAGTCAAATCCTACTATCAAGTTAGAGTAGCCCAAGAATTAGTGGTGGATGCTGTTGATTAGCTGGCTTCCTTGTAGTCTAAACTATCAGTTCAAAATTAGTGATGGCTGGCATTGGTTCACTTAGCCTTTGTGTAGCTTTACATGAATATCTGAAACAAACAAACAAATGTTGCAATGACGATGCAAAAAAACAGATTAAATAAGTATTTCATTCTATCATGTGTAATTTTTTCCTTATGAACACATTATTATGCTATTAAAAAAAAGCAGAGAACATGAAAAAAAGTTGTACTTAATAATTGATTTACTTTAAATATTGTTATAACCACTGGAAAAGAAGAATATTTTTGTAGATGTACACCAATGTAGGTTATGTGAAATAGGTCATCTTGTAGTGTTTGATTCTCAGTGTTAACTTTGAAGACATAGCTGGAAATTATGAACAAAAGAAAGGAATAACATTGACTTTATGGAGATGTTTAATACTTTTTAGGTTTATATTTTCATAGATCTTGATGGGAAGGATGAGAAAGGAAAATGTAGGTCTAATTTGTAATTCTGGCTGTTAGGCCCTTATTATAAAAAGTTTTATTATAAAATCAGTGAGCACAATATTATTCAGAAACAGTAATGTAATTTTATAAAAGTGCAAAATTTTTTGTGATTACTTTATGGGCTATAGTTTTCTTTCTGTATGGTTACATTTCACCCTGTTTTACTTCAAGAAAGAAACCAGCCAAGAATAACCATGTGTAACAATGAAAATTTTATTGAACTAGAGCATTATTCAAGATGTAATTTTCTATTATTATTTTTTCAGAGATTATATCATGAGCGAAGCAGTAGCAACCCAGATATTGCTTCATTTGCTGAAGCTGACTTGGAAGTTGGAAACATTCTGAATCGACATTTAGACAGAACAGGAAGTATGAGGAGCGCCATCTTGGGGCAAGATAGTGCAATCTATTCACTTTCAAAGTCTCACACACGGAAGATTGTTCACGAGGAATTAGCATTGCAGTGGGTAGTGTCAAGTGGATCAGCTCGAGAATTGGCTTTGTCCAATGCTTGGTTTTTCTTTGAGCTAATGGTGAAGAGTATGAATGAGTACTTAGCTTCCTCGGGACGGCTGGAAGTTCCAAGGAAAATGAGATTTAGTGAACAGTTTATGGATGATATCTCAACATTGGTATGTTAGCTTGTTTCCCTTATCAATTTGTCCATCAGTTCTTTAATCATTTAAAAAAAATGCTGCTAATTTAGGCCAATGATGAGTTATCAGCTTGACAAGAGGGATGTTAGATACCAGTAATGTGTTACAGATGTTATATACTTATCAGTAATGTGCTATTGATGCTAGATACTTACCAATAATGTACTATGGATGTTAGATACCAGTAATATACTATGGCTGTTAGATACCAGTAAGTATTGATGTTAGATACTTACCAGTAATGTACTATAGATGTTAGGTACTTACCAGTAATGTGCTATGGATGTTAGATACTTACCAGTAATTTACTATGGATGTTAGATACCAGTAATGTGCTATGGATGTTAGATACTTACCAGTAATTTACTATGGATGTTAGATACTTATCAATAATGTACTATGGATGTTAGATACTTGCCAGTAATGTGCTATGGATGTTAGATACTTACCAGTAATTTACTATGGATGTTAGATACTTATCAATAATGTACTATGGATGTTAGATACTTGCCAGTAATGTGCTATGGATGTTAGATACTTACCAGTAATTTACTATGGATGTTAAATACCAGTAATATGCTATTGATGCTAGATACTTACCAGTAATATACTATGGATGCTAGATACTTACCAGTAATGTGCTATATTTTAATTGTGCTATAAAACAATGAGGGGAATTCCACTCAAATATTATCAAGTCTATGAATCTTGTGTAGTTGCAGGTTAAAAAAAACTTACCTCTCAAGGAATATTTTGTTTCTAGGTGACTACAATGACTTCAGACATCATTAGCCGCTATAATCGAGAGGTGAAAGACATGAAATTCATCCAAGGTTTAAATACTAGTCTGGCCTTTTTCATGTTTGACTTGCTGTCCATCCTAGACCGAGGTTATGTATTGCAGCTAATCAAGGTAATCAAACTGTGCCCACTTTAATGTTAGATTTTTTATACCAATATTTAATCTTTAAGTAGGTCTGGCATGGCCTGATGGTTAGAGCACTCAACTTGCAATTTGTGGGTCATGGATTCAAATTCCAACCCAAACATACTTGCCCAATTTTCATATCAGTATTTAAATAGGTCTGGCACAGTCTGTTGATTAAATCACTTGACTCGCAACCTGCTGGGCACTGGTATCCTGTCCCAAAACATTCTCCCTTGATTTTTATGGCAATATTTAATTGGTGATTAGGTCACCCGACTTTCAATCTGCAGGTCGCAAGTCCAAATCCCATCCTCAAACATACTTGTCTGATTTTTATACCAATATTTAAGTAGGTCTGGCATGGCCTGGTGGTTAGATCCCTCGATTTGCAATCTGAGGGTTGTGGGTCCGAATCCCATCCCCAAACATGCTCGTCCTTTCAGCCATGGGTGTTATAATGTGATGCTTAATCACCCTATTCATTGTTAAACAGTAGCCCAAGAATTAGTGGTGTATGGTGTTGACTAGCTGTCTTCCCTCTAGTCCATCACTTTAGAATTAAGGACAGAATAGTCCTTTGCACAAAATTTGAAAGCAAATGCAAACAAACAAGATTTAAATATTGAATATGCTTGTTTTTTTAAACTGATCCATATTTCTAAATTAGGAAAGAGGTCTGAAGTAGTCATCACAGTTCAAAACTTTTCAAATAATTACAAGATCATCTTATTGCTATTCAAACCTTGTCAGGTGAAAACAACCAACTTATCCAAATTTTTGTTTCTCTGTTTTTAGCTGAGTTTTATCACTATAGAATTGTCACCATATGTGTATGATTGTTATATTGAATTATAATATGCTTAACAAAAACAAATGTGCATAATCCACAGAGCTTTGATCTAAAATTCCTATTATCATCAATATCTAATTCAGAAATATAGCTTATGGATTGTTAGACCTTGAATTAAGAAATTACACTCCTACAAAAAAAGCTTTGGATAATAGGAGCATTATATATCTTAAGTCAGGTGTCTTATGTATATCACCTGGTATTCTATTATGTTAATGCTATCTTTGTTACAAGAATAAAGTGAACTCAACATGTAAGTAAAGATTTAGATGTTACCTCATGGTGGCACATGTGAAAGCTTTTAACACTAAAAATTGGGTTTCGATACCAGTGGTGGGCAGAGCGCAGATGGTCCATTGTATATATTTATGCTTATCAACAAACAAATTTAGATGATTTTAAATTATGGATGACAAGCTGAAATACGTTTAAACTGATGGGGAATGTTAAAATTAATTAAAACTGTAAGTTTTAACAGCAGTCATATATTTCAAAGTAATAACTTGAACATAAACTTTATCTCAAAATTTTAAAATTATAACAAAATTTCTTCATAAACAACATTTATAGTTTACTTTCCATCTACAAACAAATAAAGATTTTGAGGTGATCTCACCCTTGAACACCCTACATCTCATTAATCATGATAAAAGTATGGTTGTTTGAGAAACAATCCAGCAACTTTTTACTTTGACCTTGGATACTTTTAGAATATTCAACATTGTCTAAAGCATCAACCTGCCAAGATTGTTTGAGATTGACCC